GGGGGGCCAGGTGGCGGCTCCCAGTTCCTATTGGAAGTGCGGGTGCCTCTCGGTGGGGCTGGCCTTAAGAGGGAGTTCTCCCCTGCTCTGGCTGGGAAAGTTTCCAGGTTTTGTTCCAGCAACAAACTCGGGCAAGTTAGTTGGAAGGAGCTACCATTTCCAAAGTTCTTTCTCCAGCCCTGCCAGATACCCACTTTGGTGTGATCACCATTTTCTCAAATTGACATTTTCAGAGAAAACTAACTTCCAATTTTCAGACTGAACGGGAAGGGCTGCTGTGGCCGTTGATGACTGAGGTTCTCGGTCTGGGGACTGAGAGCCCCTCAGAATCACGGCTGACAGCCAACAAGGCGCACACGGTTAAAGCCTGGGAGAGTCTTTCACATTAAACGAAGAAACTGAGTTTCCATCAATGTGTTCCAACGCCAAAACCGAGCGTGCCACTCCCCCTGAGGAAAGCGCCTGACCAGAGTCAGCCGGTCCGGGGACAGGAGAAGGCAGCGAGTGGAGCACGGGGCCAAGGACCATCTACGCCGCCAGGCCTGTGTCCTGGTGGTTTTATCACATGGAAAGGATATTAATGCGGAAATTAAGCCTGTGAGAGTGCCGAGAGCTGCTGAGCCGAAGAACATTTTGAGGAAGTAGCCCAGGGCTTGTAAAAACGTCTGCCACCCGCTGACATCTGACATGTTTTTCCTGGTTAAGCCTTCAGCTGTGCTAGGAATTCAAAGAGACACAGGAGTTATAACGTCATTGACAGAAAGTTATGTAGAGATTGAGACCATTTCCTGTGAGTGTGTTCATTCATTCGTCGTGCCGGCCCACAAGTAATTGCCCACCGACTGCGTTCAGCCACCGCCATTCCTATTTGCCGGCTCAGAGACGGGCACTCCATGCCTGCCCTCAAAGAACGCTCTGGAGCCTCATTTGAGTACCTAACAAGGCAAGCACTGATGGCCACTGGGTGGAGGGCAAAGGGCTGTACAAACACTGGCTCTCCCTCAAGCTGAAAGAGCCATGAAGCGTTCTGATGGGCTAGGGGCTCGGTTTCTGCTCACGACAAGGCGGAGTGACCCAGGCGATGAAATGAGGACCGGTGCCCAGGTAGAGGGCAGAGGAGAGCAGGCAGGGCCCCGCGCATGGGGTGCACTCCGGAGCCCTTCAAGGACACGGGACAGAAGTGGGGGTGGGGTGGGGGGAGGGAGTCGCAGCAGAGACAGTGGTGGGACACAGCTAGAGAAGCAGGCAGGGAGCAGCGGCCTTCTGATGAACCAAGGTGATGAGCAGGCCTTTCCTCCGCTGGCCCTGGGGAGTCCGTGTGTGTGCTCCGTGGCGGACACCTGAGAGAAAACCTGAAATGGCGCTACGGCCTGAGGTCCAGGTCTACCTGGAGAGGAGGGAGCTGGGACCCCGGCTAAGGGTGACCCAGGGAGGCAGAAGATGGAAAGAACTTCCTGTTCATGAATGCAGAACACCTTTAAAAGGTCAGGTGCCAGTACGTTCAGCGGCTGGTTTTATCCTCAAAGGGAAAACCAACACACCGTTCACATCAGGGGCTGTGCTCATTAAATATCCTCTTATCCAAGTCCCACCATGTTGCTCCCTCCGGTCCCTGAGCTCTCTCCGGACACACATTTAGGCTTCCTAGAAACAGTCTTGGTAGTGCCGTGGTTTAGTGCTCTGCCACGAACAAGAGGTCAGTGGTTCAAACCCGCCAGCAGCTCTGTGGGCGAAAGATGAGGCAGCCTGCTTCCAGAAAGATTACAGCCTCAGAAACCCCGTTGGGGCAGTTCCACTCTGCCTATGGGATCTCTGTGAATCGGAAGGGATGCCATGCCAACCAACAGGTTAGTCCTCCTGTAAGAGTAAGAAAATAGGGTGGGAAACACTGAACTGGAGGAACCTCCCCGCCCACCACACACACCCCATTCTATAAGAGAAGCTGTGAGCCAACTCAACAGTGCCTTTAGACTTCTGGGCAGCAGAATGGATGGGAAACAGAACAGGATGGCACAGGGCCTCTTTCGGCCATCTTTACAGCCAGCGGCTGGAGGCCATGGCGTGCAAGGAAGCGCCGGTGCGTTCCTACTGTAAGTGCGGGCGTGTCTCAGTGGGGTTGGCCTTAAGAGCGAGCCTCTCCCCTGCTCTGGCTAGGAAAGCTTCCAGGTTTTGTTCCAGCAACAAACTGGGGCAGATATGTTAGAAGGAGCTGCATTTTCCAGTTCCGTCCCCAACCCTGCCAGATACCCTCTCTGTACCCTAAAACATTCCCTCACCTTTTCCTCAGAGCTCAGAGTCAATGCCACTTCCTCAGAAACGCCTGCTGGACCCCTTTACACAGGCCAACCCCCCTCTTAGAGGGGCTCCTGAGACCCAGTGCTTGAATACTGCTGTCCACTTTGCCCTTGCAGTGCCGCTACACAGAGACCTTTGTGCTGGGCCAACAGGGGCGTCATGGGCAATCAGTAGTGAGCAGTTTGAACAGGAGTGTCCTGAGAGCAGGGAGGCTAGGCCAGCCGCAGGGAGCGCTGTCACAGCAGCTCTGCATGGAGACTCAGCACAGCATCGTCATCACGGTCCTGAGAAGTCCTGCACAGAACAAACCTCCTCCTCTAGCCCTGGGACATGAGGAATGCTGGCAGTCAGCATTCCAACTTAGGGAAAAGTGCTTTCTTTTACTGGACGAGATCACCTTAGCACACAGGAATGCGGGCCCAGGGCCGGGCTGGCGCTAGTGGTCTAACACTCCAATAAGTGAAAGCAGAATCCAGCCTGTGCCCGGTCTGTGTCATTTTCCCACCTTTTTCCCCTCGTGGGTCACGTTTGCTGCTTAGGGACTCATGAGAAGAACAAAAGGCTCCCATCACAGCTCTTACGGTGCCGATCAATGGTCACAGGAACAAATCTAAGCGGCAAAGGCTTCCGCAAGTGGATGAAGACACAGGACGGGGAGCTGCCTGCCGCTTGGGACGGTGAAAACATGACACACGGAATGGTGCACTCAGACCCGGCTGCCAAAGGGGGAAACAACTCTATGAAGTCTCTCTCAAAACCATGCCCGGTTTGACCTTCTAACCAAGGAGAGCTGACGACAGCCCCTCCCAGGGCTCCTTCTCTGCTGCTCAAGGCGAAAGGGAGCAGGTTCACACTCCCCCCACCCCCCACCGACCCCTCAAGGCCCAGCTCAGGGGCCGACTAGTCTGGGAGTCTGGGAACTGTCCTCTTGTCCTTCAGAGTCTGCGTGCCAGCACTACATTTTTGGAAGGCCAGGGTTCACAGTAGGAACGCCTCACTCACTCCTTTTTGAGCCTTAACATAAAATCAGTCTCCACTGAGTTCACTCTGACCTTTAAGCGGGCAGTGTGGAAAGCTTTCTCCGCAGGCCGAGTCTAACTGAAAGCAGATCTCTGGGACCCCCCTGGCCAGCCCAGGTAGGGGCACGCTCACCTTCGGGGACTTGACTGGGTATGCCCTTGATAGCAATTGGGGTACTATGATCTCATGGTACCCCACCACCTTGGTTAGAGGGCCCCAGACCAATCCTGTGTTTTGCATCAGCAACAGTAGATGAATCTGCTGCTAATCATGATCCTGTCACAAATGCTCTTCGTTTTCTTTGCTCTGTAATCAGCTATGTAGCCACCAAGCCTCTGGACACCCTGATGGCTTCAGGCTGATGGCCTCCCTCATCAGGTGATTTCTCTCCCCGTGTTTAAGACTTAGGACAAGGGTCTCTGGAAAATCCACTTGAACTTGGGCTTTTCTTCCTAAGAGTAGGGTGCCCAGCTCTTGCTCACTTCTCAATCGGCGTCTTTCTCCAGCCTCAGTCCCCGCTCAAATCCACTTAGGGCTGAGTCCATGCCCTGCCCACCCCCTACTCCCACCCCCAGCAGTGTCTGGCACACCACACGCACAAGTCACTTCTGACTCACAAGACCCCACAGGACGAGCTGGAACTGCTCCTGGGGAAGGGGTCCGAGATGACAGCTGTTGACAAGCGTAGAAAGCCACACCTTTCTCCCTCGGAGCAGCTGGTGGATTGGAACTATGGAGCTGGTGGTCAGCAGCTGGACGCTTTGCCTACAGCACCACCAGGTCTCCGAAGTCTGGCACACAGCGGGCCCAAATGTTGATGGCCTGATGGCAGCAGAGAGGTGTGGCCCACGGAGCGTTCAGGAGGCCAGGCTGGGGCTCAGGGTTGCTTCCAGCAGCATCAGTGACGGGAGCGGGGCCTGGTCTTCACTAAGAACCTGTGGCTACTGGCAAGGACTCCTCCATATTCACTGGAAGCTATCTCCTAATCTCTAGCCTCTTTTTGTAGCAAAGGAGACCTGGAAAATGTAGAAAGGATCCTACCTCACACAGATTTTTTTTCTTTAAATAACTCAAGACAAAGCAGCCGAATTTCACGCTTAATGTTTAAAAATAGCTCACGATGTCACCCCCAAAATCCTTCATCACAAATGCTCGCTATGTGGCGCCAGAAGGCAAGATGCAAGAGAAAAGCAGAACGGGAAGCAGCCTTGAGCACGGTCTTCAGCGAGACCAGCCGTGAGGCTTCGGGAGGGTGGACACGCACCGGTGGGCACGTTCGCTTCTCAGTGAAGCCCAGAGAAAGGGCAAAGCCAATGATGGGCAGCTGATTAAGTCAATCCACGGAGAGGGAAACATCAACGGCAAAGTGGTGCCACCAACGAGTATTTTATCAATTCCGTTCAGCAGAAAAGTTACAGTCTGCTCTATGAGATGTGTGGGTGAGGTGGGGGGGGGGGGTCATCCATGGAGCTGATTCTGACTCCGAGCAGCCTAATGTAACCTTCGGCTGTAAGCCTGATCCCTTTATTTGGAAGTTTCTCAGTTATTTCCCTTTAGGGTTATATGCATTGAAAAAACAGAAGGCCTCCGGAGAGATCCCTGTGTTGGCATGTTATGTGTGTACATATTCTTATTCTGTACCCTGTTCTGAGCTGAACATAGGTAGAGATTTAAGAGATGAAGCATGTTTGTTGAGGAATCGAAAGTGCAGACCTGTGATTTCCTATGATGGGAAAGGAAGGCCCAGACAGACTTTGCGGCCTCCTGTGTTGCCTGGCGCGCGAGATCTGTACACAGGATTGGCTAGGAGTCAGCACCTAACGGCAGCAGCAGCAGCAGCAACAGCAGCAGCCTTTAAGGAAGCAGACCGCCAGTCCTTTCCTCCCCAGGAGCCACAGGTGGGTTCAAACCACAGACCTTTGGGTTAACTTCCCAGTAATTCACCACTGCCCTACCAGGGCTGAAGCATACGTCTGCTTTAACCACACGTGCATTTAAATAGATTCTCTGTACACATATGCCATCTGGTAATGGATGATCTCTGGGTAGTGTGATTTTTAATTCCTGTTTCATTTGCTTCTAAGTTTGTTTTCTAAATTGTACGTGCAGAAATCACGCATTCCTTTCAGGACAACAAACGCCGTTTCTGTGCGTGTTGTCCCTGGTTGCTTTGGGAACCATCAGGTTGCTGCTTCTGGCCTTGCTGGAGGGGGGGGGGGGTTGCCCCCACCCTGGTCTGCACAACTGCCGAGCACCTCTGGAAACGCAGCAACATTGGATAGGCTCTGGCCACAAGGGTAGGGTTGACAAAAGGCCACCAGGGTAAACAGAACCTGGGAGGCCACCGCAGACGAGGACAGGGTGTCCAGTTGACTGCTGCTGGGGGCTTTTCATACAGTGTCATCCTGGACAATGCCTGAGTCAATTCTAATCCTCGGAGAGGAGAACCCACATTTCCATTCCTGCCGAGGAGCTGGCCCAGGGCCACACAGCTGTGAGACAGCACTGGACTCAGGTCAGAATGACTCCAAAGCTGGGGCCATTGGCCCGAAAACGGCTGTGTGTCCTGCAGTCCAGCTTTGAGGAGGACACCAGCTCCCGCAGGGTGTGTGTGCTCAGCAGGGATCCCAGAACAGAGGCATCACAGCGGCATCGAGCAAGAGAGCAATTGTGGAAATGCGGTTCTCCAGCAGAAGCCCCCATGCCGGAGCCCACCTCTCAGACCCCACCCAGGGCTCCGTGCCCCAACGACTTTGGCTGTCATTGCTGTCTTCGTTTGTTGGCACGGCTGTCTGGGTTGGCTGCCCACACAGGGCAGCAAGCAGTGCAAACAGAGTACCAGATAACCACCCTTGAGAGGATCTTTGCCATTACAGATGAGTCATCAAATGGTCAGGTGATGGTCGGAAAAGGAAGCGAATCTCTGATCCTGAAGGTTCACTGTTTCCTGAGAAGGTCCACACTAATGGATCTTAAGGCAGGGACACCAGTTTACACCCACTCTGTACGGTGCAGCTGTGAGACCAGAGGCAGAGGCCAGAGCCAGGCGCTGGGTGGGGGTGGGGGTGGGGTGACTATCACTTTTGGCTGCAACAGCGTTTCCCATGGATTCCAACTCCTGGCGGCCTCGTGCGTGTAAGAGGAGGGCTGTGCTCCAGGGGTGTTCAGTGGTGGGTTTCCCAGGAGCCGAGCACCAGGCCTTTCTTCTGCGACACCTCTGGGTGGGCTAGAACCTCCAACTTCTGGGTCAGCAGCTGAGCACGCCCACCATCTGTCTGACCAAACTCCGACCCCTGAACCGGTTGCTGCTGCCCCAGCTTCTGAGGAGCTTAGGAAAAACACCCCTTCCTGGGGCTCCCCTAGACCATGCACCAGAGGCTCTCAGGGAGGGGCCTGGGAATGGGGGTGCCAGTGAGAAGCCGGGCCCAGAAACCACCGCAACAAGGGACATCTCTCAAGGTAGCCTCTGCTCTCCTAATCAGCCCTGGTCCCTGACAGCATTGCTGGGGCAGGTCATTACTTGGCAGGACAGAAGATCACAGACAGTGGCAGGTACATACTCTGTCAATTTGAGCAGAGGGGTGGAGTCTAGCCTGTCAATCAGGTCGCAGCCCGATGACTTCCTTTGGAGGTAAATAACTCACGGGAGGCCAGACCCACTCTCTGCCTTCCCTTTCCTCCTATTGGGTCACTCAGAGAGCTGGTGGAGACCTGTGCCAGCCCTGAGATGCTTCCACCACTACTGGACCCACGAGACTTTCCACGCACTGGCCTGTGATCATCCTGCGGTCGGCATCATTGCATGTGCTGCGTGAGTCTAAAGAGGAATTTATGGACTAGTATCAGACATATGGGCTAATATCAGACTCACCGACTTGATCTGGACTGGGTTGGGATGTTTTCTCAATACAAAATTGTTATTTTATAAAGCTCTTTCTTGTACATATATAAGTGTCCATGAATTTGTTTCTCTAGTCACCCCAGACTAACACGCAGACTAACATGCAGAGAGAGGACAAGCGACTGTATGCTTTATCTGCTGGGAAGTATTTGCCCCTTTGTTTGAGACCCCACACTCACTTGGTCAGGACAATGGACACGGCATCATTGAGAATGCTCTCCCCAAAAACCAGCATGTTGAGCACTGGGTCCACGTGAAGGGCGTTGAAAATCGCAATTGTAGCCACAGGATCGACAGCAGATATCAGGGAGCCAAACGCAAAACTGGGGGCAGAGAAAAGGCAAGGGAAATTCTGTACCCTGCATCACTTGGTCTAACTATGGAGAACAGTAAGGTCAGACACTGCGGTGATAAAGCACAGCTGAAGAAGCTACAAAATAAGGTGTCCTTCTCTATGTGCAGTGTCCGCTCACTGACACTGTGGGTGAGATTGAACTGAGCCGACGGTGGGCTGGTGACCCAGGCCTATTTCTCTGGTGCAGCCTGTCCATCCGTGAACAATCGCCATCTATCAGGGAAGGCAGGCCTGCACAGGGACAGAGAAATGCTAGCCGGCTCACTCTCTCCTCGTCCAAGGCAATTAATTCCTAGTTCCGCGAGCCCTGAACATCTCCATGTGGGCTCAACTCAATCTCATGGAACAGATCAAGCATGTGCTGTGTCGCCAACCACCTGCTCCTGGACGACGCCAGGATGCCGGGGTGCCTTCTACCCTCCATGGGGCTGGGGGGGTCTCTTTTCCCCACAGACTGGGCCCAGACATGCTCGGCTGCCTCTGGCTTTACTTCCAGCTCCTAGGAGCAGGAATCTGACTTTGCCAATTTATTCATATGTCAAAACAATCTCCCAGCACAAGCTCCAAAATGTATGTCCTTGGGAAAACAGAAATGGGATTGTCAGAGGCCCATCCATCTCTTCGGGAAAGGGTGCTAAGAGTCTAGTTTCCAAGGGGCTGCCAGAGACTAAGGCTCTGGCTGGCCCAAGGAAAGACCCAGGGGCTGAGCCCTGGGCCTTACAACCCAGCACTGTCCCAGCAGACAGACACAGAGAGATCGATAGGTATCAAGAGAACAGAGAAGTATGATTCTCCCCACACCCTCCCTCCACCCCCACCCCAAGAGGCAGTACAGAGGAAATGCCCCAGTCTGGGAATCAAGCACATGATTATGAAGACTTTACCTGTCAGTCATGTTGAGCTTAGAGATTACATCGGCCTGTAAAATAAAACACACGAACATGCACATTAAAAAACAAAACAAAACTTCTTAGAGAACAGCCAAGAATATTAAAATGTCCATTAGTGCCTTATTACAAACTAATAAGGACATTAATCTTCAGTCCCCAGACCAACTGAAAAATAAAGTCCCCAGGCTTGAGTTTAAACCTGCATTTCATCATCATCATCTGTCAAAAGGAGGGGGAAAGAATGCTACATGTTTAAGCCCAATTAGCTGCTGTTTCTTCTCTAACATTTACTCATATTTGATACAAGGAGCCGAGCAATGAAGAGGCCAGTTTCTTTTGCAGCCATCGAGGCGGCAATAAAGGCGACAAACACATGGAACGGGCTTCAAGGGATACAACCCCAGGCCTGGCACACATAAGAAAAACCTGCCGGTTACCCAGATGCCAGAACCTCCTAGTCAGTAAATCTTCTGTGCCGGATGGTGCAGCTGAACTGCCAGGCCTAATGCAGAACAAAGGGCTGGAGCCCCTTCAGGCACATTTGGTTACAGTGAGTTCAACCTCACTGAGTCCACGCGCTGGGCGGCTGTGGATGGTGCGGGGAAGTGGCTTAGGGACAGCAGAAACCTCAGAATACAATCACACAGGCGGCCCGCCTAGCACCGGGTGGACAGATTCAGAGTCTCCTTTGATTAGGAACAAACATTTTACTACACTTGATCTTCACCAAAAGGCCGAGAAGCACTAAGAACATACATTTTAATGAAAATATTACCAAAAAGAAAAAAAAAGCCACATTTAATCCTGATTTGTTAACCTGACAAGTGATGTTCTAGTTCGAGAAGCCTGATGATACACATTTGATTTCTAGCTATTCCAACACTTTCAATACCATTGGTTTTCAGTGAAGGTAAGGTATTTTTTGGATATGGGAGGAGATTCAGTCAATTCCAGACACCACAGTTCTGCGGGAGCCGGAGAACCCACATCACCTGTCTTTACTGTGTCTCCAGGGAGTCTGGATTGCCTCCCAGGAGGGCATTTTATCCCGAAAATGCAGCTCAGGCCCTATGGGGGTCCCCAGCCAGCCTCCCACCAGTAGGTGGGCAACGCAGGATTGCTGAAGTTATTCAAAGTTGTTTTTCTTACCTGACCCAGAAAATAAATTCCCCCTCCTACGACAAATGCAGAAATCGCTGTGCCAAAAACAGCAAACAGGGTGATGGAACCAATGTTTTGGAAGAAGTTACCCTGTTTGAAAGAGAAGAAATAAAAAGACTCATTGGAGAAGCTGGTTCGGTTGGTGACGGTGTCGTCCCCCCTCACGGCCACGTCAGGTAGAGCCCCTCAGGCCCTGTCACCCACACCTCACTGCTTCTTGCCATCTCCGCCCACCGTCCTACCCAGGCTCCAGCCCCGTCACTTCTTGCTGGTCGACTGCAGAAGCTTTTAAACCATTTCCTCATACCCATACCTGGGTTCCTGATTGCCCTTTCCAAGGGTTTCCAGAATGATCGCTACAAAAGATGAATCCGATTGTGCCGCCTTCACTGTGCGCCACCCCTACTCCCACTGGGACGCACGGGGACTAAGTCTTAACCAGAGTATGGGTGGCTGGGCTCCTGGGAAGGCCTCTATGTCATTAGGTCCATGCTCCGCTGTGTGCTCTGGGCTCTGCCCCCAGGGAGGGCGTTTGGTGGCTGCAGCAGATCATGCTACCTCCACACCTCCGATGGGCCTTGTGCCTGCTACTGCCATGGCTCCGACCACTCCTCCTTCCGTTTTGCTCGGGGAACTTTAATCAACCCAGGATTTCGGTTCTCTCTGATGGAAGCCTTCCTTGGTGGCCAAGAAAGCCCCCAATCTGTGCTCTTAATGCCCAGTGAACCCTGTCCTCAGGAGTGCTGGCTCACCTGCACACTGAGTTCACACCGTTACTAGAACGATTACCTTCGTCTCTCCCACTGCAATGACCACTCCTGCCTTTGCATAAAACTGTCACAGCTGCAGTGCCTGGCAGATGGAAGACGTCCAACAAAGACCTGCGAGATGAATGAACTGTTTCATGTCTGAGCACGGTGCAAATCCTCACCACTGTGTGAGGGTCGGTTAATTAACGTGATGCCCCATTAAAAAGTGTGTCAAGGTATGACGGTTAGAGTTTTACTAGACTTCTTTTCGCTGTCGAGGTGTTCGAATCAGTCTTCTGTTACAGCGTTAGTGTCGTCATCAAATACATCGGATGACAGAGCCTCTGCGCCTCGCAACACGGAGAGAAAACAGCTCCACACCCGGCCGGACCACTCCTCCGCCCTCGCTGCGTGGTGAACTTCAATCACTCTGGGCATGGGATCATTTTCAGAGTTCCTTGGAATCAAGGGACATTAGGCTGCTTCCTAGTGTCCTGGGGACTCCAGTGGGAGTAGCCATCAAGGAGCCTGGGGGATGGGTCTGGCCACGGACGCCCCGTCTCTTACTTAGAGTTGTGCACACATGGAGTTGGTGTTGTCAGTTGACTTCCACTCACAGCCCCACACGCCGAGCTCCTTTGCAAGTTTCTTTTTTTTCTT